GTGAACATTACTTTGTATTACAGGTAACTAGAATATTGTAATTACTCAATGAGCCTACCCTCACCGGCCACTTTATTAGGTACCCCATGCTAGTAACAGGTTGGACCCCCTTTTGCCTTCAGAACTGCCTCAATTCTTGGTGGCATAGATTCAACAAGGTGCTGGAAGCATTCCTCAGGGAGTTTGGTCCATATTGACATGATGGCATCACACAGTTGCCGCAGATTTGTCGGCTGCACATCCATGATGCGAATCTCCCGTTCCACCACATCCCAAAGATGCTCTATTGGATTGAGATCTGGTGACTGTGGAGGCCATTTGAGTACAGTGAACTCATTGTCATGTTCAAGAAACCAGTCTGAGATGATTCCAGCTTTATGACATGGCGCATTATCCTGCTGAAAGTAGCCATCAGAAGTTGGGTACATTGTGGTCATAAAGGGATGGACATGGTCAGCAACAATACTCAGGTAGGCTGTGGCATTGCAACGATGCTCAATTGGTACCAAGGGGCCCAAAGAGTGCCAAGCAAATATTCCCCACACCATGACACCACCACCACCAGCCTGAACCGTTGATACAAGGCAGGATGGATCCATGCTTTCATGTTGTAGACTCCAAATTCTGACCCTACCATCCGAATGTCGCAGCAGAAATCGAGACTCATCAGACCAGGCAACATTTTTCCAATCTTCTATTGTAGAATTTCGATGAGCTTGTGCAAATTGTAGCCTCAGTTTCCTGTTCTTAGCTGAAAGGAGTGGCACCCGGTGTGGTCTTCTGCTGCTGTAGCCCATCTGCCTCAAAGTTTGACGTACTGTGCGTTCAGAGATGCTCTTCTGCCCACCTTGGTTGTAACGGGTGGTTATTTGAGTCACTGTTGCCCTTCTATCAGCTCCAACCAGTCTGGCCATTCTCCTCTGACCTCTGGCATCAACAAGGCATTTCCGCCCACAGAACTGCCGCTCACTGGATGTTTTTTATTTTTAGGACCATTCTCTGTAAACCCTAGAGATGGTTGTGCGTGAAAATCCCAGTAGATCAGCAGTTTCTGAAATACTAAGACCAGCCCTTCTGGCACCAACAATCATGCCACGTTCAAAGTCACTCAAATCACCTTTCTTCCCCATACTGATGCTCGGTTTGAACTGCAGGAGATTGTCTTGACCATGTCTACGTGCCTAAATGCAAGTAGTTGCCGCCATGTGATTGGCTGCTTAGAAATTAAGTGTTAACGAGCAGTTGGACAGGTGTACCTAATAAAGTGGCCGGTGAGTGTATATATAGGGCTACAGGTAGTCACTGTGCTGTTTGCTGACATGGTGTGTACCACACTCAACATGGACCAGAAAAAGCAACGAAAAGAGTTGTCTCAAGAGATGGAAAAAGGAAATGGTAACAAAAGAGCCAAGAGAAATCCTGAAGAGATTGAAGGTGAACTTCAAGCTTAGGGAAGATCACTGTCAGATCACAACATCCAATGTTGTTTAAGCCAAAGTGGACTTAATGAGAGACGACCAAGGAGGATGCCATTGGACACTACATGTTGACAAGAAGCCACAAAGCTTCTTGGAGAACATCATATGGACAGATGCATGGGCGTAGGTTTGCATAGGGACCATAGGGACATGTCCTTACCAAAATTTTGAACCGACATAATTGTCCCGACCAATAATTGGATTTGAGCAACATGTTTATAATTTACAGCAGTAGTTGTTGCAGCAGTGGCTTCTTTTCCTCTCGCAGCTCCTCTGCCTGGTCTCTCCTGTCCCTTTCATGTAGCAGCGCATGGAACTGTGCTGCGCTGTTTAACTCCACTCTCATTGGTTGTTCTGCCTTAGGTCCCGCCTTCTCTCCCTCTGATTGGCTGTTTTCTAGTCCGCTTGTGCTTGGAGCACAACATTGAAAATGTATTCACACTAGAATGCAGCGGTTACAACAATTAATATTAGGCTACAAAACAAGTCCCAATAAAAAAAATGAATATCATGTACACTAAAAAACAAAAACCTTTTTTTTTCTTTTATAAAACGAAATATTCTGAGTCAGCCAGGAGTTCTGAAGACTGCTGGAAAAATGGGCAAATAAAGGCTGTAAGCATCAACATTTCTGATTCTTATCCACAGCCAACTAAAAAAGAAAATGTGAGGGTTTCCTTTTTACCGATATTTAGTTGCTATTACTGTTTTCATTTTTTGTTTTTATTTTTACAATTTTGATATAATAACTGATCTAAGTGGGTTGCTCTGTGGGGAAAGGCACATTTTACATTTATATTACTGTATGTTTTAAAGTCTCTATACTCCAGTTAATGATGAATCACTCACTAAATTAGTTGATGATTATTGAAATAATCAATTAATACGATTCATTTTTTTCAGCCCCAGATTAAATACATGAAATGGGCTACACAGAGTACCTACAGCCCAGATGTTCAACTTTTATAGTGAAGTTAATATTTTAATGAATGTATTATTTTGCTTGCTAGAGAATAGTACGTAAAAATATAAGAGTGGGGTTTAACTCTGCACAATTCTATATCTTCAGAAAAAAATACTGTATTTACCTTCTCTCTTAGTCATTTAAATGAAATCGTTTTCAAAGTGGAAAACAGTCCTAATTCCACATTCATCAGAGCCGGTGATACTTCAAACATTGATAAACAGCATCTAATGAGTGTAGAGCTTATAACATTTTTATTAATGTAGCAAAATTATGCTTTTCTCTTTTAACAATGAATTCCTCTTATCAGTACGGATGCTCACATCGAGCATAAAAAAGGGCATGCAAATTGCATAGCACCAATGACACCAGACCAATAGTGTCCCTACCAAAGTTCAAATCAAACCTACGCCCTTGGACAGATGAGACAAAAATGGAACTTTTACTCACGGCAAATCAACTCCATGTTCAAAGATGGGAAAATTAAGTATATGAAGAAAAGAACACTATCTCTACTATAAGACACGGAGGAGGCTTTGTTATGCTCTGGGCTGTTTCACTTAGTCTGAATCTCTGCAGGCTCCAATGAAATCTCCAGACTATAAAGGGATTCTATAGAGAAATGTGCTGCAGTGTCAGAAAGCTTGGTCTCAGTCACAGATCTTCAACAGGATAAAAAGCCAAAACTCAGCTAGAAACAACCAAGAACGACACATTGGAACTGTTCTGAAGAGGCCCCTAGGAGCCCTGACCTAAATCCTACCGAGCATCTTTGGAAGGAGCTGAAACCTGCCGTCTGGAACATTTAGCCTCCAAACCTGAGACACCTGGAGCAGTTTGCTGATGGGGAGTGGAGCAGAAAAGCTGCTAAGGGGAGCAGAGATTTCATTGACAGATACAGGAAACGTTGGATTGCAGTGATTGATTTTAAGGTTTTAAGGTTCTTTCTTTCTTTCTTTCTTTCTTTCTTTCTTTCTTTCTTTCTTTCTTTCTTTCTTTCTTTCTTTCTTTCTTTCTTTCTTCCTTTCTTCCTTCTTCCTTCCTTCCTTCCTTCCTTCCTTCCTTCCTTCCTTCCTTCCTTCCTTCCTTCCTTCCTTCCTTCCTTCCTTCCTCACTAATTGTTGGATCTTCATCTCTGTACAGAAAGCGACATGAATCCATCTTAAAGTTTCCCACCTGATTAAAAAAGTGTCTGTTTAGCTGTTTGAAAGAAGTGAAAATCATTTTCTCTGCTCTAACTGTGAACTTTGACATTTTTGTCAACATCTCTCTATCAGTTTATAAAACAGCATAATATGTATTAATACATATAAACATGTTTTATACTGTACACTTTTAGTGTTTATGATTTTATCACACTTACTGTGTGTGATTTGTATCATTTGGGACTTCATAAAGACTTTAAGCCTCCTGCTTTGGTTCATTTAAATGTGCAAGATAAATTGATCTAAACTATATTCAGTGAAATGTAAAATCTTCTAATCATTTCTGCTGGTAAATAACAAAGAGCAGCTAAAACATCATGCTCCTATTGACACAAAATCAACAATAGATTTGCTATTAATTAAATGAATTAGGAACAAACTTATCTGTCTGATCATTGCTGAAAGTTACTACTGTTGGCAGCAGAAGTTTAAAGAAGGTGGCCGTTGTTCAGGCTTTCTCTGAACATGTTTACTCAGAAACCCAAACACACAGTAAGACCATTTATGAGAAAAAGGATAATAAAGAACTACTTGTTTCTATATCTAATCAATAAGCTATAAACGGCATACCTGCAGACTTTCTCTGCATTTTCAGAAAATATTCTGCCAGAAATGAAAACAAAAATAAATAATTAAGCTGCTCAAATGTTGATAATAATTATTATGATACAATTTAATTTCTTTAGTTTTAAGAAATTAAAACTATTATTCAATAGCAGCACTATTCATTTTCCTATCTGCATACCTGACAATGACTGTTATTTCCCTCTACACCCTCAGATGAAGAATAGAAATTTAACCATTACATAGAAATATACAAACATATTTTCCTTAAATACTGTATAATCACATTTTAAATTCAACCATAATTTGTGCTTTATTTCATAAAAAGGAAGAAGAAAAGCAACAATTAACAAGAGTTGATACTAAACTGTGAGAAACAAAGATAATATCTGAAATTCCATTTGAAAAAGTTAAGTAAAGTCATTATCTAGTTTTTTCCCTTTACTTAAATGAATAAATAAATATATGTTTTCACATTTAACATGCTTAATATAGTAAACTAGTATAGAAAAGAGAAGGATGGTTATAAAGAGGGATTCCAGGTCCAGGTGAGCCTCTCCAGGATGGGGTCCTGGGTTCCCAGGTTGGTGCTGATGTCTAATGATTACCAATCAGAGGAGAAGTGAAGGCAGAGCCAATAGAAATAGAAAAGTTCCCCCTGATAAACCAATGATGGAGCCCCAGTGTTACACCGTTCAGCGAATCCCCTGCGGATCTGATGCAACAGGACTGCAACTAAAGTTACTCCTTCCAAGTGCAACATGATGTCCTTCCGCCGGAGCGCACCCCCGAAACTAGTGCCGTCTGCTCGACATGTTTATCTTTCTCTCCCGCTGATTCTGTTCAGGAGGTTTTTAAATTTAGATTAAATCTTTAAGGAATTGCTTTATTCTCCATAATTATAGCAGAATTAAACCGATAACTGAGGGGTAGTCGCAGACTGTTATTATGATGGGAAAAAAAAACAATCATTTGGGTTTATTGGACTTTTTTAAGTTAATGAAAGTAGAAAAGTAGTTTAAAGTTAAGTTAGTTTAAGTTATTTTTGTAGAAAGTAAAGTAAAAGTGTCCTCGGCTTTTGACATGAAGCAGAGAAGCACCTGTCAGGCGGGCGCGCGCGTGCCCGAGGTCTCTGGATAATGGGAAAGTCCCCTGCCTCATGACGTAACGAGCGCGAGAAGTCTGGAAAGTGCGGAAGGATCTTCGGTGAGGTGATGAGGTCCGGGCATTAGGAGTTGGAGAAGTAGCGGATTTAAAAACTTTCTGTCTGCAAGTGTGTCGGTGGGTCCAGCGCTCCATGAAGAGTCCCTGAGTTCCAGCAGCGAAATAATGTCTCTTTAAGCGGCGTCTTTCTGCTCGTGCGACATTAAGCTCGGTCTGCTCCGCTGCTCCGCTACAGCTGAGGAAGGATGGGGTGAGTTCAGGCTCTGCATGAGCGCAGGAAACTTCACTGCTGCTACTTTTAGACAATAAACCTCATAAAGAACAACTATTTAGTTCAAAGTTCTACTTATTATCACTTTATCAGAATATTTTTACACTTACAAATGTTTTTCTTTTCTTTATAAACTTTTGATTTTTTTTTTTTTACCAAATTACTAGAAATTTAGTTGACATTTATTATATATAATATGATTCTGCAAAATCATTTGGATGAAAAACATTTCTTTTTAATAATATAATTATTTTTCTTAATTTAATGATTCCTTACAAATTATGGAAAAACCTTTCTATACACATTTTCCTACTGTGTTTTTGCACTTTTACTGATTTGTATTGTTAAATAGTTTTATGGTAAAATTCCAGCCTTTAAACTGTAAAACTGTAGGTTACCAAAAAAAATAAAAAATTTAAAGACCTTTAAGTTTGAAATAATTAAAGCCTAATTTATAAATTACTAACTTAAATGTTTTTTCCTTTTTCCCCCAGGTCTACAGTTTTTTCCACAACGCTCGCCTCCATCCAGCGCATGGTTTGTTCTTTTGGAAAGCACGATCGAAGCGGTCGACACGATGGCGGCGTCGATCCTTCGCAAGAAAACTCCCCTCATTTCCATGGGCGAGCTCGGCGCTCCCCCTCTCCGACAGGCTAGCCGTGGCCAATCACGGCTTAGGTCGGGGGCGGAGCTAACGGAGAGGCAGCGCTTAATTGGTGAGTTTTGCCAAGACGCTTTTTTATTTCCCCACATCCCGAGGTCGGAGCCGCAGTGCAGCACGGGGGCTAATGTCGTACAGTGAGTACTGTGGATTTTTATCGAATGCAGACGATGCTGTTCAATCATTTTCAGATGATCGGTTAGTTGTTTGCTTGGATCTTTCTCGGATTTATTGCTTGCTTATGCTTGAAGCCTTTTCAAACTGCTGCTCACTTCTTTAGCTTTTTTTTTGTCATTTTTAATGTAGATATTTTCTTCAAACCACTGAAAGAAAATGGATTGCTTTATTCATTTTTAACACTTTATTATGATTTTCTATCACGTCTTTTTCTAGGTGATGGTCATTCTGATTGGATGACAGAAAAAGTTGATTTGTCTTCATTTGTGTCAACGACCGAGTCTTCTCCGAGCTCATCTCTTCCGCCCTCGCCGTTAGAACAGGATGTCGAGGTGCCCTCGGATCTGGAGGTTATGACCTCCCTACTGCAGGAGGAGCTGGCTCAGCTGGAGGACTACTTCCGCTCCGAGTCCACATCCACCACTAACAAGTTGGAAAAATCCTCAAAATGTGACAAGGTCTCCCAAGCCATGGGCTCCCAGTCGTATTACCAGTTACCCTATGGCTCATATGGGACCAGCCAATCAGAAACCAGCCCTGTGGTAGTTACCTTGGCAACAGGGGAACTGGACCTGGCCAGCTTCTGCGGCGGTCCCATCGGCAGAACCAAAATAGCGCGGCCGGCTCCGTACAGCTACCATCACCGCTACCATCACAACAATGGGCGGCGGATCCTGGGCGAGTCGGTGAAAGTCGGGGACGAGGTCGGTCTCGACACGTGGGGCTCCAGGGGATGTTACTCAGGAAGCACGGAGTTTTCCGTCAACCACTACTCCACACTGAAGACGGTGAGCAAGAGCGGCATCGGCGGCGTGAAGAAGGTGAGAGAATGTGCTTTATCGTTGAAGGAGGAGGAGAGCTACTGTTTTTCCGAAGGAATGTTTTGCAGCGAAGAGATTGCTCGAGGCTTCTGCTTGGGCGGCTCGTACGACGGCCACCACAAGCGAGAAGGACAGCTGATGCACAACGTGAAGGTCAATGTAAGTTACGACAGCACCGGGCTGGAGGTCCTGCACTGCAGCAAAGACGGAGGACTCTCTGGAAGTCTTCCTCAAGAGACAATGGTGCCCGGCGACGGCTACTTCCACCAGTCCATGGCCGGCACCGAGCCCTACCATAGCTTTATTGGAGACCTAGACCAGCCGCCGCAGGCACAGGCTGTGGAGCCCCAACATGGCCACTACCTCTATCCAGAATGCCTTGCCGAACAAAGCTATGAATGTCTGTCCAGAGGGGAGGGCGAGGGGCCGCTGCTCGGCGCGCCCATCCACCGCCCCACCCAGAGGCTAAAGGACGAGCCCTGCTCTGTGAAGCCGGCCCTGGTGATGAGCGCCGCTTCTCTGGACTCCAGCAGCGGAGAGAGGAAGCAGAAGAAGAGAGACCAGAACAAGACCGCTGCTCACAGGTAGACCCACCTTTCTGTTTGTCCGTCCATCCATCCGTCCGTCCGTCCGTCCGTCCGTCCGTCCGTCCGTCCGTCCGTCCGTCCGTCCGTCCGTCCATCCATCCATCCATCCATCCATCCATCCCCTCAGTTAAAGCAGGTAAATAAGCCGACTTGCAGATGAAATGAATATTTTTCCTTTCCTTACTTAGATTGTTTCTTGAATTAAGCTCATGTTTGTTTTTTTAACGTTCTGATCATTAATCATTATTTTTCTCTGGCAAACTTGCTCCAATCAAAGGGAAAAAGCAATTATTTCAGGGAAGATTGACTTCATGTTAAAGTTTTTTGCGGTGCATCATGTGAGGTTCAGGATCAGATCTGCTCTTTGCCAAAAAGCCTTGATTGTTACATAAACTCTGCTCCAAAGAGCGTCTATTTTTCCTGCTGAATGTCTGAAGGGATTGGAAAGCCCCTCGCTGTCTGCCAAACCCTGCCCCACCTATCTGCTTCTGTTAGCTCAACTTATGGGTTCTGACTCATGGATAAATCTGCAAAGCAGCAAAAACCACTACATGCACCCTAACCCTCCACCCCCCTCCTCTCTGTCCCCGTTACAGGTACAGGCTGCGTAAGAGGGCGGAGCTGGACTCTCTGGAGGAGGAGCTGCACGGCCTTGAGGGACAGAACCGGGAGCTACGCGACAAGGCGGAGTCTGTGGAGCGAGAGATCCAGTATGTCAAAGATTTACTGATCGAGGTGTACAAAGCTCGCAGCCAGCGGCTCAAACAGGACGGCAGCGCCTGAGAGGGCCCCCTCCCTCCCTCGCTCCCCCCCCCTTTCCCCTCCCCGGCCAGCACAGAGAGAACCACCACATCAAGAGCACCAACCGGCACGATTACAAGGGTAGTTGCATGATTCTGGTAGTTCTTAAAAAAAAACAAAGTTGCAGAGAAGTAAACAGAAAGAAACTTTTTCCTAAAGAGAGAAAATCAAAAAGAGGAGTGCGGAAGTGGATGAGTGAACTGAGAAAAGCCATAGCCAGGTGGCTTCCTGAGGAGATGCTGAACTAGTCCGTGACCACTGTGATCCAAACCGTCCTCACAGCCTTCCCGCCGCCGCGTCCCAGCCGGCGCCCACGGAGCCACACCTGAACCCTCTCTGGACTCCTGCTAGTGATGAAATTTGCTCGTTTTTTTTTTTTTTGTGACACATCAGCAGCACCAAGGCAGACTTGTACTAAATATATCTCTATTTTATTTTTATTCATTTATTTCTACCTGATAACTTATTGTTTGCTTCAAACAATCAAATGAAGAGAAAGAGGCCTGCAGGCGGAGGACGTGTGAAACACGCTTCATGATGTTCATTATGCAGACGTGTAGAGAATCTGTATCGCTAACATGTTGACACACGGAGACACGATGCATGTTGGATTTTGGAAAAGCATGTGTGAGTTTTATTTACTGCATGGCTTCACCCCATCAGCCTGCCACTTCCCGTCACCTCTTTCTGTCTCGGCTGTATTTCTGCGGATAAACAATCGCCTCCCATGGCAACGCTAACCTCTCTAGACTCCTGCTACCACTCCCTGAGGGATTTTCTTGACAATTGCACTGCAAAAACGATCCAGTGTTAAGTGTATTTACCCTTAATTTGAGTCGGTAAATAAGACGATTTGCCAATGAAATGAATTTCTACTAAGATAACTAGATAATCTGCTGTTGAAATAAGACAATTTAATTGTTTCTTTTTTTAATTTCAAAGGTAAAATTGTCTCATTTACCTCCTCAATTCAAGAAAAAGTGCACTTATTTTAAGAAATTTTTTTTTGAAGTGAGACCAATCTAAAGAATCTACACTGGAAAAACGATCTAGAAATAGGACATTTCTTAAATGAAGTGTATTTACCCCTAATTTAAATAGAAAAATAAGATGATCTGCCAATGGAATGAGTCTATCTACTCTTAAAATAAGATAATTATATAATATGCGCTTGAAATAAAACAATGCGATTGTTTTATTTCTTATTTTAGATGTAAATTGTTTTGTTCCATTGGCAAAGTTTCACACTTACTTCCTCACTTAAAAAAAGCACTTATTTTAAGAAAAAAAGGACTTATTAAGATTTCATTTTTTTCTAGTGTTCAGGTCCTTCTGTTCTTTGACGTCTCTGTCAGGATAATCTGGAACCGATTGTACGGCTTCTCTCTGCCGTTGGACTGTTGCTTTTGCCCCTGCATGCTGCTCCATGTGATTTTGTTTCGCAGCCATCAGAACGCATCAGAACGCTCGTGTCCAGCGGCTAAGAGGACGACGTGGGGTCAGGAGTAAGAGGAGAGGTGGGATTAAGGATGCAGAACGGAGCGACTCCTTCCCCTGTTGAGCTGAAATTAAATCATCGCATCCAGACGACCGCAACGAGGGGTGAATGTGTTAACAAGCACCCCCCCCCCCCCCCCCCCAAATCAACATTTAACCACTTTGTTCGGTCTCCCTCGGGGCTGAGCGCAGTCGTATCAAACTCCACCAGTCAACAGACAACAGAAGTTGCCCATCTTATCTCCTACAGCTTGAAGATGGTGTGTGTGTGTGTGTGTGAAATCTCTTGGTATCTCCCCTAGCAGTTGTAGGCCTTTCAAGTGAATGAGGCAATATCGCACAATACTTGCAGGAGACGGAGAGAAGCTGGAGTGAAGTGTGAGAACGAGAGCGAGCTCGGCTGATGGAGGATGTTGTTAAAGCCCATCGGTTCTGTCTTCTGTTTGTAAAAAACAAAACAACAAAGAATCATTATAACTCGACATTGATTTGTTTCTGTTTGTGTAAGATATGACATGGAAATGGAAAACCAAATGGATCCTGGTTTGAGTTTAGAATTTAATCACCACTGGGAAACATCTTTAACGATGTGTGTAAATAAATAAAGCTGAACAGATGAAAACCTGGAGTTTGTGGTCATTTCTATGAGCGTGCTGCAACCAATGAGGCCAGAGAGGTTATACACTGCAAAAAGGATATAGAAATAAGCAAAAATCTTTTAAATTAAGCGTAATTCCCCTTAAATGGAGACAATTTGACACAGAAATCAGTTTTTTACACTTAAAACAAGGTAATTGGATCATATGTAGTTGAAATAAGACAATGTAATTGTTTTTTCTTGCTTTAAATGGAAATAGTCTTGTTCCATCGGCAAAGTGTCTCCCTTACACTGGAAAAACAATCTAGAAACAATTAAACATTTCTTAAATTAACTGTATTTGTCCTCAATTTGAGTAGGTAAATGAGATTGCCGATGGAATGAGCATTTTTACTCTTAAAAACAGATAATTAGATAATATGCACTTAAAATAAAACAATGCAATTGTGTTTTCTTATTTTAAGTGTAAATTCTCTTTTACCTCCTCAATTCAAGAACAAAGGCATTTAATTTAAGAAAAAAATGACTAATTTAGATTTACATTTTTTGCAGTGTATGGTTTATTTTGTAAAATGACAGGAATTAGTTTTTTTATTCAAAATATTTTAATCCAGTTTCCTACACTGCAAAAATTAAAATCTAAATATCTATTTTTTTTTCTCTTAAAATTAGTGCATTTTTTCTTGAATTGAGGAGGAAAGTGAGACCTTTTGCCAATGGAAAAAGACAATTTACACTTAAAATAATAAAAAACCCCACTATTGCCTTTTCTTATTTAGAATGCATATTATCTAATTATCTTATTTTAACAGTAAAAGTATTTATTTCTGGGCAAATCATCTTATTTAACTGCTCAAATTACTGGAAAGTAAACTTCATTTAAGAAATCTAGATTCTTTTTGCAGTGCAGGTCTGATAAGTGCAGATGATAACGAATGAAAAAACAAAATTTAAGACATTATACTGTGTTCTTGTAAATAAAGAGAACGAACAGAATCTTTTTCAGAACAGTCTTTTTTTTCTCTAGTGTATGTTTTTAATAATTTTAGTTCTATTTACTGTTTTTTTTTTTAATGTGCCCTGAAAAAAAAAAAGTAGAAATAAGTCAACATTACTCAAGTGTTTTTAGCCTTAGATTGAGCAGGTAAATGAGATGATTTGTAAATGGAACGAGTATTTTTACTACTAAAATAAGATAATTAGATAATATGAACTTGAGTAACACAATATAATTGTTGTATAATTTTTTTTTCTTGTTTTAAGTGTAAATTGTCTCACCTCTTTAATTCAAGAAATAATGCACTAGTTTTAAGAAAAAAAATAGATTTCAATTTTTTTTTCCAGTGTGAAAAAAGAATGTAAAAAGGATAAAAAGAAATAAGCAGTGAATTTTACAGCTCAGGTCCGGATAGAACCAGATTACCTAAATATTAAGCTTCTCTTTAAATGGAACCACCTCAGCCTCCAGTTTTATGGTCTATTGAACATATATCCGTAAAGAGAGGATTATCCATTAGATAAGTATCACGAAGGAACGCTGTGACAACAAACTCACATATAATTCGACGAGAGGACATTTATTTAAGAATAAAAAGCAGAATATTCCCTGTGTGGATTCATCAGGAGCTCCATTCACCTCCAGGTGGCACTATAGTCTCACTCAACAGTGTGTTGGTCTCTTTGTAACCGGCTGCCTCAGGTTGGTAAGGTTAAAGCAGACTGTGTTACAGCAGGAAAAGATGCAAAGTAGTAAATAAAGACTAAAGATATAACCCATCAAAAACTGCATCTGTGTGAGTCGGAGGAAAAACGGTACAGAGTGAAATAACATCTATTGAGCCTCTCTGGCCAATGCTGTGATCAAACAGCTTTCTCTGTGACTGCAGCTGCTAGTCTATACAGGAAGGCCTCCATCTGTTTATTCAGAGTACAGACTGCAGATTTAACCTCTGCAACATCACAAATGCGTAGCCAGATAAAAAGATCAATTAGGCTTTTTTTTTAAGGTTGTTGCATGAGTCGGTTTGGAGGTTTAAGATCTTTATCCTCTGTCATGGTTTAAGGTTCTTTTGGATCTTTTGATTTATTTTTTTTATTTTTGAGCCACTCTATCTTATCAAAAAAGAAAGTTTTAAATGAGGACAGGGTGTCTGCGTCACAGGCTAAAACCACTGGATTGCTCATTGCCCGTTGGTAGTACGGGGTTCAAGTGAAGCCACTGGTCGCCGTATTGGTACTCCCTAGTTACACCAATGTAAACAATCTGTGCGACCACAGCATCTAACAACAACGATGTTCTCATTTTCAGGGGGACGTACGACTTTTTAAATAAACATAAATTCATCACTTTGACACACACTGGCCATTTCATAGCATCAGTAGATTACTTTAACTTAAAAAGTAAAAATTAGGCCCATCACATTAAATAGTCATTATAAAGTCAATGAAGTCTATAAATCAAGAAATATAATATATTATACAAATCCATCACAATAAAATGAATGTGTTAATGGAGCAGAATAATACAGATGAGAAAAGTGCTAAAAGTGCAAAATTGATTATGTAGATTTAATATACAGTATTTATTACATTGCTACAGTAATTACATCTGATAATTAAAAAAAAAACTTTACATACAAGTATGCATACCTTTAAACTAGTCTTGTAGTCCTAACTTTAAAGAAATACACTCTATATATTGCTAATTTGGTAAATGACTATTCTAGCTGCAAATGTCTGGTTTTTGGTGCAATATCTACATAGGTGTATAGAGGCCCATTTCCAGCAACTATCACTCCAGTGTTCTAATGGTACAATGTGTTTGCTCATTGGCTCAGAAGGCTAATTGATGATTAGAAAACCCTTGTGCAATCATGTTCACACATCTGAAAACAGTTTAGCTCGTTACAGAAGCTACAAAACTGACCTTACTTTGAGCAGATTGAGTTTCTGAAGCATCACATTTGTGGGGTCAATTAAACGCTCAAAATGGCCAGAAAAAGAGAACTTTCATCTGAAACTCGACAGACTATTCTTGTTCTTAGAAATGAAAGCTATTCCATGCCAGAAATTGCCAAGAAATTGAAGAACGGTGTGTACTACTCCCTTCAGAGGGCAGCACAAACAGACTCTAACCAGAGTAGAAAAAGAAGTTGGAGGCCGCGTTGCACAACTGAGCAAGATAAGTACACAAGAGTCTCTAGTTTGAGAAACAGGCGCCTCACAGGTCCCCAACTGGCATCTTCATTAAACAGTACCCGCAATAGCAATCACTGGAGTGATAGTTGCTGGAAATGGCCCTCTATACACCTATGTAGATATTGCACCAAAAACCAGACATTTGCAGCTAGAATAGTCATTTACCACATTAGCAATGTATAGAGTGTATTTCTTTAAAGTTAAGACTAGTTTAAAGTTATCTTCATTGAAAACTACAGTGCTTTTCCTTCAAAAATAAGGACATTTCAATGTGACCCCAAACTTTGGAACGGTAGTGTGTGTATATAGTGTGTATATATATATATATATATATATATATATATATATATATATATATATATATACATATATGATTTTTTTTGTTTGTTGTTTTTTTATTTTAATCTATAATTGTCTTATTTTATCTGCCTCTTTTCAAGGGCTCCTTTGCAAAATTCCATTTAGATCTTAATGAAACATTCCTGATTAAATC